GGAAGATGTAATTATGTTATCTGTGGCCCAGAGAAGTTGTTCACTTTGTCCGAAGTCACACAGGACAGACCATCTGACTCCAAAGCACCCCAACCCCCGACTGCTCTCCAAGGGTTTGGTTCTAGCTGGAGTCTGCCTGGGTCTATGGGAAGAGCCCTGGAGGCACCCCAAGTTGCCCTTCTAGACTTCGGCTAAGTTTTAAGTCAGTTTATAACGGAACAGAGATGTGCAGTTTCTTTACAGGGAGAATGGCTCCCAGGCCCGTCAGACCTAAGGGGGCGGGCTCAGGGACAGGGTCCGCAGTGGTGGGGTGGCCGGGCGTGTTCCCTCTGGGATCCAGTTTCTTTACAGGGAAAATGGCTCCCAGGCCTGTCAGACCTAAGGGGGCGGGCTCGGGGGCAGGGTCCACAGTGGTGGGGTGGCCGGGCGTGTTCCCTCTGGGATCAGGCACATCCGAGTCACCCGGAGGGCTGGGGTCAGCACCCCGCTCAGGGTCCATTTGCTTCCTGGGGACGTGCTCACTTGGGGACGAGAGAGGGGCTAGAGCAAGGCCGTGCTCAGCCACCCGACCGTTCACTGAGCTTCAACTGTGCGAGAGACTGTTTTGGACTCTGGAATGAGGTGGTGGACAAAATGCCGGAGGGAGAGAGAAGCGTGTCTGAGGCCACCCACTCGTTCACTGTTTGCTGAGCTTCGACCGTGCGAGAGACCGTTTTGGACTCTGGAATGAGGCGGCGGACAAAATGCCGGAGGGAGAGAGAAGCGTGTCTGAGCTCAGCCCACTGCCGGCCCTGTTCCCGGCCCAGCGCCCGAGGGCGAGGGGCTGCAGTGGAGGAGAGGTACAAAGGGACCGGGCAGTGGGCTTGGCCAGGTGATGGGAGGCGGGGCCTGAGCCCCCACAACGTTGGGGACCAGGACAGCCCAGGCTACTGCAGGGAGCAGGACAGGAGGGCCAAAGGCCAGGCGAGGGCACTGTGCCTGGAGCCTCAGGATACCTAGGCCCCAGAGCCCCGCCCAGGGAGAGGCTGGTACGGCAGAGGCAGAGGCAGGGAAGACTGCATCTCGGGGAAAGTGGTCCTGTCCTTGTCAGCTCGGTTGCTCGTTGTCAGTGACACATGTGGCTTCTGGTGTATACATCAGCCTCGTGAGCTCGGCTGATGTGAGTCTTCCCGCAAGCTAATCTGTGTGCTGGCTCTGGCATGGCAGTGCGGTTTCTGAGCTGGGTCACGGAGGGGGACGTGCTTCCCAGAGGCTCTCGGAGTACAACCAGGCAGTTCCTGCCACCAGCAACCAGGGGGACAACCAGGCAGTTCCTGCCACCAGCAACTTAGAAAGCAAAAGGTCATGTTTAGTTCAAGCACAAAGACCGTGAAGCTCAGATGACTTCCAGTGGCCCAGGCTTTTCGCCAGCTTTTCACCAGCCTCTGCAGCTGGAGCCGGGGCCGGAGTCACCATGCAAGCTGGGGAGACGCCCACATTATCTAGGTTGTCCCCCACCGTGTGCTGGAAAGTGCGGAGAGGGCCTCGGCCAGTCCTTCCTTGATACCCGTGCTGGCTCCAACACTTTCTGAGCACAGCCATGCTACGTGCAGGGCGTCGCCCTGAGCCCTGCGTGGCAGAGAGGAGACCCCTGCCCCAAAAAATTCCTTGAGGCCCTCGGGGTCTGGAGGGGGCTGCGGGGGCTGGAGAACCAGCCACCTGTGTGTGAGGTGGGGGCGACAGGCTCGCCCGTCTGCCTCTGCTGTCTTTGTGTTTTCTTACTCTGGGCCACGGTGGCTCAGGCCAGATTTCTATAAATTCCACGAAGCTGGTATCCAGTCTGTTCCGGAACGAGGATCTGTGTAACATTGTTTTCGGAAGTTTTGACAGAATGCACAAGGAGCTAGATTAAATTAAAACAAAATTGCAATCGCCGTCTGAATGACTGTGACAATACAAATAATTCGCAACCAAATTAATGCAATATTAGGTCTCATCATTACACTAATAATCTCACAGCAACAGAAAGACGACAGTTGTCTGGGGAGGAGTGATTCATTACTCGGGAGGACAGAGTTCTAGAAAGTCAGAATTTCCTTCTGCCATCTGAAAAGAGAGAAGAGCTAAGAATTCCAAAGCACCTATTATGTCAGGATGCAGGGGTGACAAAGGCACAGTCCTTGCCTTCTGGGAGTGCCTGGCTCACCGGGTGGGGACAGCCTTAAGTGACAAGGGAGAGGGCCATAGGGAAGACTTCCTGGAGGCGGTGGCATTGAGCTGAGCTTGGAAAGCTGAGTAGGATGCGTTAGGTCTTGCCCGCTCCTCGCTTCCCTTTTCTCTGCAGCCAGCTCTGGCTTTCGTCCCCTCTTCACCTTCGAAATGCTTTTCTCAAGCCGCCTTCACGATGCCAGGTGCTCGTCTTCCGTGACTTCCGGCAGCACGTGCGGCTGGAAGCCTCCACGGCCTCTGGGCTTCCCGCGAGCATCGCTGGCGCCCTTCCTCCATCTCCTCTGCGGGGTCCTGTGCGGGGTCCTGTCCGCTTCCCAGCCTCTGAACACCAGCGGGCCCCAGGGCTCAGCCCTCACCTCCTCTCTTCCCTGTCTCGGGCTCCCTCTGACGACTCGACACTCACAGTCCAGCCCGACCACCCCACTCCGGTATCTCACTGTCTGCACCTCCCTGGGATGTGTCTACCAGGGACTGTGTTTGACAGGAGGAGGGGAGGGGGAAGGTGACGTGTTTTAACGGGGACCTGCAATGCCTTGGCCGGATGGGGTGCCCACTGCTGGAGTCTCAGGTATCATAGCTGGCCTTTTATTTTAAATAAACACGGGCACGAATTAACGAAGGAATAAGGGAATGAAAGGAGTGACAAGTGAATGAATGAACGAACGCATTTCTGAAAACGTTGCATGTTGCCTTGCGTCAGACACCGTGCTGGTAATTTTCATAAATGTCTCCACGTTTAGTCCGAGTCATTTTCATAATGTTAATCCTTGCCGCAGTCCTTTGAGATGGGGATGATTACATTGATTTTGTGGATAAAAAACTCAAGGCACAGAGGACCCGGGTCATTTAACTTTTCTGGGCACAGTTTCCCCATCTGCAAAATGGCAACAGCAGATCTCAGCTGAGAGCACGCGGGGGTGACACATGCGACACTGTCACATTGTCCTGGCACCGGAAAGGGTCGATAAATCTGTGCCTGTCATCTTTATGTTCAAGGTCATGTTCCCCTTGGCTGGTAGAGTTTTCTTAGTGTCCACTCCTGCGTCTAATTCTCGGGAGCCCCCTCAGGTCCCTTGTGGGGTTCAGGTCACCAGCCCCCAGGCCAGCCTCTGCTGCCGATACCGAGATCAGACTCCAGGGCTTCCCGCGAGGACCTCACAGAGAAGCATGGCTCAGAGCGACGCTTTCCAAAGCAGAATTTTAATAGTGCAACCAGAAAACACAGCTCCAGGAGGAACAAGGTTTAGGAATCAACAGTTCACCGGGCTTCCTTCCTGCAGGACTTCTCAGAGCCTTCACTGGCTGCTAACCAGCATGGCTGTCTGAGGTGTAGAATGGGGTGTTTACCGAATACGCACTCGTGGGCATGACCTTCGCTGCACGCGTGCCATGTGGCGGCCTGAACCAGGCACTTTCCCAACCGCGTAAGGTGGGTGGCAACGTCTCTGTCTTACAGGTGAAGGACAGAGGTGCCAGCAAGTGAGGGACTTGTCTGGGTTCACAGAGCTTGGAGGGGAGGACTGGATTACAGCCGGAGTCCCCTCGCTTGGACCGGTCGCTCAAGCATCTAGGCCCTGTGAAGCTTTCGGCTTGTGGAATGGCTTAGAGCTGCTGTGCCAACGGCTTGGGCTCCTCTGAGTCATCAGGATGCCGTCTCATTAGATACAGTGTTTGGGGGATGGGGGGGTCACCGGTATCGGTGGTGAGCCCAGGAGTCAGGGGACAGGGGATGAGTCTCAGCGCTGCTATTTATGGGCCGTGTGAGTTGAACCCGTTCCTTCTGGGACCCCGTTTCTCCACATGGAGATAAAGGACCCCCCTCTCTGTCCCCAGGAAAAGTACTGGCAACAGCTTCCTCGGCCCATCATCCGTTTGATGCGTGCACCAGTTTAGTGGGGGAAAATGGTTTTCCTTAGTTGGCTTGAAGCGCCGACTCTTCTGGCCAAGCTACATCTTAAACCGTCCCGTGGTGGGCACGAGGCGGGAGTGCCCGCAGGAGACTTGCATTCGCATCAAGGCCCTGCTTGAACTTGCTGCGTGACCTTGGGCCTGGCGCTTCCCCCCTCCGGCCTCGGCGCTCCATCCTTATCCTTACAATGATGACTTGATTGGACTTGCTGCTCTCAACGCGTCCGCTGTCTCAGCACTTCACGGCTGGAGCTCTCTAGGCCAGGGACCGATGGCCTGCGGTTACGGCCAGCCAGGCCTGACTGGGGCGGGGGTCTCGGGGCATCATCCCTCCACGCCCCCTGCATAGCACAGCCCACGAACAGCCGCCCCCGCAGGTGAGAGATGGGGTCCTTGCGGGTCGAGCTCTCCTGCCCACAGGGCCCTGGGGTCCAGTGCTCATCAGCCGAGTAGGTAATTACGTGTGCGCTTTGTTCCCCGCACAAAGCAGCTCTCAGAGAACTTCTGAGAGGCTCCGCTTCCTGGCTGATTTGATTTTTTTTCAGAAGCGGAGTGTGAAAGCCAGGCTGAACCTGCCTAATTGTGCCTGCGAAGGCTATTCAGAGAGACCGTTCTTGGAAGGGAATCAGGACAATTAGCTCTTGGCTGCGGGGAGAGGGGGAAGCGAGCTAATCACAGTGAATGTCAGCCTGTTCCCAGGGGAGCCGAAGGGCACAGACTTGGGAGAAGAAATAGGGAAAAAAGAATATGCCGGGCTGCCTCTGTGGGCTGCGCCAGACCGGGACGGGGAGCTGGGGCAGGCGGGGCTCACCTCCGGCTGCTGGGCGGCCCTCGCTGACCTTGGACGCGTCACTCAGCCCCTGGGGCCTCAGTTTCCCTGAGCTTGCAAAAGGAGCAGATGGAGCCCATTCATCACGGGAAACGACAGGTGGGAGCCCTGGGGTCTGGAGCAGATGGTGCTGGGAGGGGCCGAAGACAGAGCTCCTGCAGCCCAGTGCAGGCCCCGGCCCCCGGCCACGTCTTGGCCTCTCCTCCTGGACCAAAGGAAAATTTCTAATTCCAATTCAAGCGCCTTATCGGGCTTCCAAGTCAGAGGTGAAAGGGCAGATCTCAGCTTTGCCTCTTCTTGATTCGGTGACATTAGGGACGTCCCTTGGCCTCTCTGAGTTACAGTGTCCTAAATAAATACATCATGGTACTGTTAACCTAAAAATAAAAGGCCAAAGTGAGCGGCAACAAACATTTATTTGAGATCCAAACGAATAGCTATTCAGGAGGCACCGATTCATCAGCCCAAATAGCGATCCCATTAGGAGGCCAAGGCAAGGGGTATTTATTTACGAGCAGGGAAAGGACAGATCAATAGAAGGAAGGCATTTCTATGGGTGCAGATAAGCTGACAATGACGCTAATTCTAAAGCATGTTGTTAATTTTCAGTCCTGTAGTCATCGGTGCAGTAATCACACTAACTGCTTTCTCGATATGTTTGCAAACAGTCGTTTGGGACACAATGTGCTTTAGGCCCTGTCCAGGGCCACCTGGCCCGGTTTCAGGGTTCTAAAGGCTTGAGGAGTAAGTTTCCCAAGGCAGCGCCTCTGGGACGGCAGCTGGACTCCATTTCAAAGTGGCTCCGTGGATATTACTTTTTACAAGTACCTAATGATCTGACACCCAGGAGATGGTAAACACTTGTCACTGCTGCAACGTCAGGAAACCAGGGTGCACATGGGTCCGTGTTCCCATAACCAAAGTGTGTGTGTGTGTGTGTGTGTGTTTAGACAGAAGAGTTTCTAAATAGAGTATGTCTTTTTCTACCTTTTCGAATGGAGCCCAGGGTGCATATTCCAATATCTTTTTCTTTGAAGAGAGGCAGCAAGGTTATAACCGAGCGCCAGCCGTGGGGGCGGGCGCCCGAGTCAGCATCCGGGCTCTGCCGCTCACCGTACCTGTGCAACAATCACTTCGATCTTCAGTTTCCTAAGTTCTCAGTAGGGATAATGGTCACGCCCACTTCGTAGGTGCCTTACGGGGACTGAAGCTGTTAGTACACTGAGAATAGGGACTGGCACTTAGTTAAGTGCTCAAGTGTGATGACATTTTAACGTCATCACCCTCATGACTTGATAGCTCAGGGTCACACTATAAAATCCACATGCGCTAGCAGGTGCTGAGGGATCAACCCATCCCGCGGGGCCTTTTCTCAGGAGGCGCCCACAGCCACTCCCTTGGTCCCCAGCTGTCCACCTGGCATGTGAAGCTGCTACGCCAGCCTCAGCTTTGTCAGCCGCATGCAGGGGGACGGGCCGCCACGGCCGCGAGAGGCAGCACCCTCCTTCTACTCCCTCATCCTTTGACTGCTCCTGGCGTGAACGGCTTTGCATTCCACCCGCTCGGAGGGGCCCTGCGGGTACTTGGCGCCCTCACCCCAGCTCACCGGAGGGCGCTGTGTCA